TGTGTTGGAAACAGCGGCCGCATCAACACTACGGCGTTGAACTGAGACTCCTTGTATTTGTTTCTGAAATGCTCAGATTTCCGTCTACATTTCATGTGCAGACCATACCTTTCCATCCCTTCCCAAAATATTCTAAAAAATCGCCGAAAACTGCCAAAATAGATGGCTTCCCAGCTTGGAACATCAATGTGCGTGTAGGTGTGTTGGAAACAGCGGCCGCATCAACACTACGGCGTTGAACTAAGACTCCTTGTATTTTGTTCTGAAATGCTGAGATTTCCGTCTACATTTCATGTGCAGACCATACCTTTCCATCCATTCATAAAATATTCTAAAAAATCGCCGAAAACGCACATTGATGGCTTCCCAGCTTGAAATGCGTGTAGGTGTGTTGAGATTTCCGACTCTGAGATTTCCGTTCATTTGTGCAGACCATACCTTTCCATCCATTCATAAAATATTCTAAAAAATCGCCGAAAACGCACATTGATGTTCCAAGCTGTGGGGGCCATCTATTTTGTCAGTTTTCGGCGATTGTTTAGAATATTTTGGGAAGGGAAGGAAAGGTATGGTCTGCACATGAAAAGGTAGACGGACATCTCAGCATTTCCGGAAAAAATACAAGAAGTCTCAGTTCAACGGCGTAGTGTTGATGCGGCCGCTGTTTCCAACACACCTACACGCACACCTGTCAACGTCGTCAGAGACGATTACAGGCCTTTCGATTTTATTGCATTTCGTTCTGAATTTGGAGAAGTTCCATCGCTCTCTAGGGTTTGAGATTTAATCGCATAGAGGTGGGATACCGAGAAAAGTGAAGGACGGAGAGTGATCACTTCCCCAACTGTCATCATGAACCTGCCATTGGCAATCATGGGTTAGGTTTTTGGTGGCAATAGCAATAGCGGGCTGTGGGCGCTGAAGTCGCCAAGGATTAGGCCTGAATGCCCGACCAAGTCGCTGAGTGTGTTTGGCTCCTCGATGTTGGTGGGATCGGCAGTCCTGTGATAGACGTTTGCAATGCGATCTCTTTGCTATTTGCCATGCTGACCGAGATGACCTGGGTTTCAAGGCTTCCCACCTCTGCTTTGACCTCAGTGGATGTACAATTGTCGACGACAAAAGTGACCAGTCCACCCGTCATTCGCCCCGCTCTGTCTTTGCGGTATTGTGTGGAGCCAGGTAACCGAAAGTTTGCTCTCTTCCCCAGCTTCGCTTCTTGAATTAGTATAATGTGGGGGTTCAGTACCTGTTGTCTGACTAGGGCTATGAGTTCTTCGCCATGCGACTTCAGACCATTGGCATTCCATTGCAATATATGTAAGCACATGATGACAGTTGTGTCCTTATTCAACATTGCCAGTGTTGTTTGCCACCTTCTTTGGACCCTTTTTGCCTTTTTCCTCTCTTGCCTTTACGCCTCTTTGGCTTGGCACCCTTGCCTGTAGGGTTGCCTGCGCTGGTTGCCTCAGCGTTTTTTTCCGCCCGTGTGTCAGCATTGATCTTGCCCTTGGTCGCCGCCTGTTTATCGCCCTTAACAGTTTGTGCCCTCTGTTTAAGGCCAAGAGTCTCCGTGTTTAGACTCTGTTTTTTTTGCTGCCTGCTCCTGCAGAAGTTGGATAGGGACGAGTGTCCCTTAACTTTTCAGTTTGTGCAATAGAGTGAACAGTTGCCCTTGTAGCTTTTGGCTGGCCTAGAGCATGTTCGGCATTTTGACTCCCTGAACCAGTTTGCCTTAACATGCCCGTAATTTAAACAGTTGACACACTGTTTTGGTCGCCTGAGGAAGTGTCGCTACTACTTCGCCTGCCACTTTGATGATCTCTGGGACTGTCGTTCCCAATATTGTGAGTATTACTACTCTGGTATTCCTGCCTTGGCTTTTAATCCTATACATGTCAGTTATGGTAGGATCGTGTTGCTGCTGGGTTGTGAGCCTTTCGTCACCGATACCCTTATCAAGATGCACCGCGCATCTTGTGTGTGAGACCCAGTCTGGCGCTTTCCAAACTATAACCTGGTCAAGGACTTTTGTGGGGAGCTTGGCGCAATGATTTATGTTGTCACCTCTGACTACATATCCCCCATTTGCTTTGTGAATTTTTGTCACAGAGATTGACTTGGCTAGTTCCTCCCGTAAAGCTTGGGCCGAGACCCTGCTGGAGAGGGTGAGGTTGTAGTCTGTACAGTAGACTAGCCTCTCCCACCCCTGCTGCTTTGTTTGGAGGGCAGCCTTAGCCGTAGCTTTGGCTTGTTTAGCTTTGTCATTGGACTTCTTAATGTTCCTGGTCCAAAGCTCTTGAACTAGTATCGGTCTGACTGGCTGATTTCAGTGTAACCGGTGTTCCCCTTGGGCAGAGCCATTGCAGCTTCTGAGTAGGAGCTGTTTTGGCTTTCTGCTGTTGCGAGTTTGTGATTTTTGGGATTCGTGGTTTCCGGACTGAAATACTGTTTGGTGCTACCGGGACCGCTCTCAGGCACTTTCATTTCTGAGCTTACCCTGCTCGGCTGGGCATTCCCCTTACGATATTTTGAGGGCTAGGCCCTACCTCTTCGGACTCAGAGTCCATTTCTATGTTTATAGATATTGGGGTCGTCAGTCCCATATCTGTGCCAACCCTACCAACCCAAGACACGGCTACCTCCTTGCTAACAGTGAGGCCCCGAGAGTTGGGCAGACTCTCGGGCTCAGTCTCCCTGCTGACCGAGTCCTGGCTAGGGGGCGGCATGTCCCCATTGATGCCAGTTGCCTTTTTCTGGCTTTACTTTCTCTGTTTTTTTCCAACCCCCGGATGGGTTGGATTAGATGTAGTCACGGCTACATTCCTTGTTTTGTGGGGAATAGACACGGCTATTCCATTTTTCAAGCACTGGGGACCAGGCACGGCTGTTCCCCTTACTTTCTCAATGCATGGGGCAGTCACGGCTGCTCCCTTTCCTCTCTCTAGCTGGGGTGTAGACACGGCTACACCCCTGCTTTCCCCTGGCCTTTCCCCCTTGCTTTCCGTGAGGAGTGGGCACGGCTACTCCCCCCTTCACTCCCTGGTCGGTGGTTGCGGCAACCACCTTTCTCCCTCCTTGGGGGGTGGTCACGGCCACTCCCCTGCTCTCTCTCCGGGGAGTGGACATGGCCGCTCCCCCCTTCACTCCCTGGTTGGTGATCGCGGCAACCACCTTTCTCTCTCCTTGGGGGGTGGTCACGGCCACTTCCCTGCTCTCTCTTTCACCATGGGGAGTGGACACGGCCACTCCCCTGCTCTCTCTCTTCGGGGAGCGGACACGGCCGTCCCCCTACTTCACATTCCTGCTTTCTGTGTACCTCGGCGGTAACAGAGGTGTTCCCAGTTTTACTCGCCATGAGTAGGCTGAGAACAGTTCCTCGCGAGTAGAACCCACAGTGAACTGGCTAGTCTGTCTCACAGTCCCTGAACCACATTATCTTCCCTATTGCCAAGCCCTCTCTGCAGTGCTAAAGCCCTAAATAAAGCAAGTCTAGATTCCCTCAGGTTCAGGTCTGAATCTCTGGTCTCCCTAGGGTTCCTTTTCAATATAAATGGGCTTGTTTGTTACCATCAAAATTATATATATTAAGAGACAAAGTCTTAGTCTATGAACTGGCCTTCCTTGTCTTGAGTCTTTCTTGGCTGCTTTCCTCTAAGCTCCTTCTCCTTTCGCAGCCAGACTGCAGATGACCGTATACCAGGTTCGCGGGCCTCTGAGAAGACAACCAAGCATTACATTTGCTGTTTTTTACGCTTTATAGACATAAGTACATAGTCGTACGTGTATTTCTTTGGCAAGTGGGTATCTATGACCATTTTCTAATCGCACACATCAGTTTTAGGGTGTTTGGCTCTAAGAATAGTCAGTTAGGACAAGAAATCAAATCATTATCATGCCTCGGCAGAGTGCTCAGACAACCCAATTCGCTAACACAGACAGGGTAGAACCGGATAAGAGCTAACATAAAGACAGCCAATCAGGGCAGCTGATGAGAGAGAGGGTCGTCGCTATTTTACACCTACAATGACAGTCACTTTGAGTAATACGCAAGACGCAACGAGGGTGTACAAGTCGATAAATTCAGTCCCACACCGGGCTCCCATGTGCCGTGTGCCGGGAGTCACTGTGAAGAGCCAGTCACCGAGAACCTGAGGAGGGTTGGGTTACCTAGACTGGCATCAAGTCTCCGTCATTGTATTCTCAGGCTGCGGCTGGAGGTAACTCGACCCGCCCATATCTCACCAGCTGTCAAGCGCCGACTTCTTGCGTGAAATGAAAAAACTTTTGCAATGTTCTTCACTTCGTTAAACATGTATCATGTGTTTTTAAGAATTATTGGTTAAATATATCGTTTTATCAGCAAAACGGGAAATGTTTTATTTGTTTAAGGTTGATAACACGTACATGACCACATTTTATGTAATCTGAGAAGCTTCACATCCTTCACATCATTTCTATTCAGTCCAGAATGCACGGTTTCCAGGCACAATAGCCTGGAAATCTCTGTGCTGTTTATACATGGGGACACTCCCAACAAAACTTCGGTCATACTGTGTGGTCTAATCAAGCAGGAACATTTGCCGAAATAATTAAACAATGTCATTATTACTTATTCCTTTTTAACTTACATATTAGACCCATTATGCCCTTTTTCACAAATGCACCCTGGTCACGGCTTTAACTATGTATCGTGTAGTAACGTAGAGCAACCTGCTATATGTACTATATACATTACAGAATACAGAGCGCATCAACGCCAATTTGGGTGATGTGTTACAGTATGTTTGATCGTAAGTGAACTATTGCATGACGTCGTGTACACTGGAAAGTGTATCATGATTAACGCAGTATGCATCGTGCGTAACGAATGTCCATGTCATGTTTTCATCACTCTATTTTGGAAAGATTCGGCCACCGTGAAATTGCTGGAATATTGCTTGTAGCGGCGTAAAACTAAATTCACTCACTTCGATTCCTGCATGACATTGGGTCAGTACTTCGTATGGAACCCATTCAAGTATTGCTCCGCCGCCGTGATACGGCCACAGAAGTACTTAAAGCTACAAAACCATACAAACGCATACAGTGCACACAGAACACAACTATGAGGTACAGTATAACAAACGAAACCATTTATTTCATAACACAAAGAAACATTTATGCATACATTAATGTAAGTGTATGATACATATCATAAATACAAAGTATATTTGGGAGTACTTGCACACTTGGAGTGAAAGTATAATAATGCACAAGACATGATCCTCTGCATGATCCTTATAACTACAGGGATAAGACAATAATAACAAGATAAGAACAAACCAGGGGTAGACTATGAGTTGTCTTCATACACTTCACAAAAGCTTTTGAAATTAACTTATACGTGTTCTAAACAATGTGCTATTATTATATGTTTTGTTACTCATCATATATATATATGATACATGATATATCTTGTTTATGTAGTTTTTAGAATATTGTCACTGTTTCTGTATGGAACGTTTGCACAATAAATATTTTATCTCTTATCCCTGTACCTGTTAAAATGTTGAATCTGATTTATGTATTCGTCTGTAACAGCAAGCGTACATCTAGACTAAGGCTTAGTCTCTGAATATATACTCAGCGTCATTAATGAAGGGTCAAGCTTTTGGTGACACTATTTCTTAAAAGTTGTTTTTGTTTGAAATATATACAATGGACGTGTTATTGGTAACATGACTTCTTAAAAGTTGTAAACTCTTCGTATTTCTTTGAAATATATATAACTGAATGCTTTACAAACTGTCTTAACAGTATGTTAAAACACATCAGGCCGTTGAAATGTCATTATAACATTCTTTAACGTCCGCTACATTCTGTTACACATGGCACAATCTTTATTCAAATTGTCAATATGGAAATCCACCTGCTACTTAATGTCAATGATGTGCACGTGCAACTCGCTCTATCCATGGAAAGTGGAGGTCAGTACACATGCATAAATGCTTTTCACTGTTGAGGTTCTTGAGAGGGATATAGAAGTTGGTATTCAAGTATAAGACAAAATGTTAGGGATGTCAACTTCTTCTGTATTGTATACACAACGTTTCTGGGCTATTCCTTGCCCCTTCGTCAGGTGAATGCTAAATAAGAGATATACCGGAAATATATACTAGTAATGTACATGAAGCCAGAGTGATTTTAAGCATGTATATACAGTACAACCAGAAATTATTGAGAATTTTAAGATTGTAATTTTTTATATTTTTTTCACTCATTACTCACGGATTAAATGGGAATATTAGCAGAACATAACTGCAGATTCAAAGACAGGTAAACAGTTAGTATTTTGTCAAGTCACCATGGGCAGCAATGCAGGCTTCAATGCGGCGGGGCATACTACTGATCAAAGAAGTTAGAAAGTCGTGGTCCATGCTGTCCCAATATCGGACCACCTCTTCTTTCATTTCAGCAATATTTGTCAGATTTTGCTTTTTGACACTTTCCTTCATAAGTCCCAAAACATTTTCTATTGGATTAAGGTCAGGGATATAGCTTGGCCAATCTAATAATGTCATATTGTGGGTCCGAAACCAGGCCTGTGGATGCTTTTGAACAATGTTTTGGGTCGTTGTCCTGCTGGAAAATCCAAACATTTCCATAGAACACGTGAGCAAATGGAAGTAAATGTCCCTCGAGAATATCTGTGTACCGCTCACTGTTCATATTCCCTTCAAATACACAGAGGGGCGTTGTCCCTAACACAGATATGCCACCCTACACGTTAAATTTCGGACTGTACTTTGGGCGCTGATACAAAGTTTTTTTCAGTTTGTTTGGTCCAGAATTTCAGTGTATTAGGAAACAGCCACACAGAACTTTCATCTGAGAAAATCACATTGTCCCACTTAAAATTTCTATACTGTAAGCACCAGTTCAACCTTCGCTCCTTTTGTTCAGGTTTCATGATCGGGGATAAAAATCCTCGACTTTTCTGCCCACCCATTGCATGCAGCTCAGTTGCAATTGTCTCCTTACAGACAGTCCCACAGTCCCTCTATCAATCATATCCAGCCTTAAGTTTTCTAAACTCCTTCGTTTGTTTTTAGAAACAAGAATACTAAGCCGCCTCCTGTCACCGACAGTCAATTTTCTGGGCCTACCTGCACCTCCCTGGTGCTCAATGCCATATCTATTTGCAACATTTTTCAAAACACGATAAACAGTGGACAAAGGGATGCCTGTTCTACTTGAAATCACTTTAGCTGATCTGATGTCCTTGTTATAATACTCTAAAATCAACTTCCTCTTCTCTTAATCATCCAAACAGAGGATCACTGAAAATGTCGTCTGCTAGCAAGTAAACAAAGGGGATAACTCTTCACAAACTAATGAAAAAGGATTAACGGAGTTGTCTCTCTTGAATGAAACCAAGCGCTTCATAGCTGGTCATGGTTGTTTATACTAGAAATCCAATTAAACATATTCCTAAAATTCTCAATATTTTCTGGTCATACTATACAATAAATAGGGGATTAAAAAAAGAGACTAAAATATCCTAGTCTAATAGGTGTACATTTTGTAACATTGCAGGGAGGGCTGAGCAGTTGGGGCAATAATGTGGTTCAGACACTGTGAGACATACTAGCGTACGGCGTAACGATGGCCTTACTGAGTGTTTTGGTTGTCCTATTGGACTAAAACAGGGCTGTATATTAAGCCTCATTCTATTTACTACTTCATCAATTGTAGAGGAGTACAATTACTCCCTGATTTACATCAACTGTTTCTTCTGATGATGTTACTTTTATGTGTGATCCAGTAAGTGGGTTACAAGCGCAACTTAATATTCTACATAACTACTGTTGAACATGGAAGTTAAATGCCAACCTTTCGGAAACAAAAACAAAGTGGATTATCGTAATGAACTTTTTGAAGTTGTTTCATCATATCGGTACCTTGGACTGTTGATGACTCCATCATTAGAATTAACAACAGAAGTAACACATTTGGCGTTAAACGGGGGAAAATGGCATTATATTAATGAATGTTTTCAATTTGGTTTTGACATAATGAAGAGTCTTCTCAGAACATTTTCCCAGACATATGCTTAAAAATAAAAACCCATTTTGCTTTATGTACCCAAAATATGGGGCTATTAATGAATTCTTTTGTTAAATTGATCTTATACAGTACGTATGAGAGAGTGGTTTATTCCGTTCCTATACTGCCTTTTATTACAATGAACATTTGACTATCCGTCTGGAATCTGAAACAGAATAACATATACTGAAACATTCAGGAATTGCTATAGTACGACATGATGAGTACATGCTTGCATGAACACTTGCTTCAGTTTGCATTCTTCCTTTTCAGCCATGTTACTTTGACATAAAGGCAGAACATAGTATATCCAAGTAAAGTTGAGTCCAAGGTTCAAGGATGCCCTATATAATTTATTATCTGGATTTCAACATAAGCCACAAATTCACAAGGCTTATAGTGAGTGAGTGAGTTTAGTTTTACGCCGCACTCAGCAATGCTTTAAATGAAGTGTCTGTGTGTTCAAGGGTGTCGAGTTTCGTCAAACTGGCATTTGCTCTCTCTTTCCTTTTCTAACTAAGATAACCCGTGAATATTCGGGTTGATCTTCAGTAACCCATGCTTGCCAACTAACTGGATCGGTTGGTCAGACTCGCTTACTTATTCATGTCATCGTATCCCAATTGCGTTGATCGATGTTCATGCTGTTGGTCATTGGATTGCCTGGTACAGACTCGATTATTTACACACCGCCGCCATATAGCTGGAATATTGCTGAGTGCGGCGTAAAGTTAAACTCCCTCACTCACTCTAACTAACATACACATACCCACGTGTGGCACACTCATCCAGTCAAGAATTATACGCTCCGAAATGCTTCCTGACATGAAAGAAAATGTAGTCTTCCACCACCTTCACAAAATAGTCGTTCCTGAAATATACATGAATAAAATGACAGCACTTTTGTCGGAGCTAAAGCCACGTACAAACAATAGAACAATTTTATTCTAATGACATGTACCTTATTACCTTCAGTGACATACCTTGGACGTCCACTCTGTAGTACAGCATCCGGAAGTACCAAATTTCTTTTGGTTATATCATAGTCTGAAAACAGTATGACTATGCATGAAGAGTGTATATTCATGGTAGTACATGCTGGAACTCTACCTGGTAATTATGTACGAAACACTCAATCTTTATTAATCACTTGTTTCTTATTACTGACACCAACCATCATCATGAACAACACGTTTATTTTAAATTTCATTGTATCCTATCATTACCTTGGACCTCTTGTCCTGATCACTAATTTCGATTCCATCGCCTGCATAAGTATGGCATACCCCTGAAATGAAAATCATTCTAGCATTGTTACATACTCTCTTTACAAATTTACGCACACAATATTGAACAATATGAACATATCGGCATTAGTAAGGGGTTGGCTTAGACAAATTGTACTTTGGAACAGATGTAGAGGCATACAATGTAACAACTGTGATACATATTTATCGACACAATGCCAACAAATAGCAGCGTTCGAAACACCTGCCTGCCCTACCGCCCGGGACGGGATATTTTCAACACGGACTGTCACATTCTCAAATTCACCTGCCCCACGGTCGGGTTAAAATTTAGACATGTATATGAAGATAGTCATCATATATCAGTATTAATTCACTCGTAAAAATAAATTGATGATAAACTACGTCGCTTGTATTATTTGCGGGCAGGTAAGTTTTGGTCAGGGCTGGCAAGTTTTACATCTAACCAGCCCTGTGGTCTGGCTGTAATTTTTGAGAGTTGCAAATAGTCATAGTCATTTCTGACAAAAAGTTATGAAGTCACAGTACAGTGATACTTACATCGGCGTTGAGGTGGGACATTGCTCTGCTCCTCTCAAGTTTCTTTCCTTTAAAGAAGAGCAGATGCCGCTCATACTCATTCGGTACTTCTGATGTTGTTTCTGTCGGATAATTGTACAACCGTGGAACATCTTCTTCAATTACTTTTTCCACCTGAAGGTTCGAAAAGAAAACCTTGTTGCAAAGGTTATCCAGTGTGCATAAATACTAGTACTAGTACAATACTAAAGAAGAAAAAGTGATTAACATCAGAATCAACATCCAATCATTCCATCCATGTACATCCCCTAATTAGTAACTTACAGTTATGCCAGTATATATTTAAGCTGATGAAGTAGGTGAATATATTTCCATATTCATACCACGTTCCGGAATTGAGATCGCTCCACAGTCTTCAGCTCCTCCAGATCATCAGCAAGTATAGTCACCTGCTGATCACCGAACTCAGTCATGTCCACTACGGGAACCGCTAATTGTATTAAAGAAACATATTCATTAAAACAGTATGCTATCTCCATGGAATCTCTCAAACTTTAACCCCCCCCCCTCACACACATAGACACACCATTACTTTCTCTCGTTCTCTCAAACACACACACATACACACACACACACTTCCCTCTCTCCCTCAATTTACCCTTTTCTGGAAAAAATGATATACCCACGCAAAGCTGTTCTTCTCGCTGTCGCCTTTTCCGCACATCCTTCGCTGAAATAGTAGTGAATTAGAATTAGTTCCTCGTACATCCAATGCTGCACAAGCTCACAGAGGTGTAACAGTTCATTGGTTATAAATTATGCCTAAAACACAGTCATAATAGTTAAGTGTTAGTAACAGGCACTTTGAAAATGCTTTGGCAGCTTTCGTTTATAATTGTCACAAGTAAACGGTAGCATACCGTTTCAGCTGAACCTAAGGAGACTGCTTCCAAATGAAACAGAAACGTGTTTTATTTATGCACAAACACAAGAACACTGTATTCTTTTACAAAACATTCCATATTTTTTATATGCTCATCCATGCTCTAACCTCTTACAGTTACCGATATGTCATTGATTAGATTCATGTACCCGTGAATGGATCTTCGCTGACGTATGTCCAGGTGGTCTTGTCCGTTTCAACGGCAGCGGTTGGTCAGCACACCATGAATCGGAAAATCTTTTCTGATATAGAAACATAACATACGTATTTCTGTGGCCGTATATCATTACCACAATTATTACTTACAACTCATTATGGTAGGAATTAAATTACGTCAGTTTCACATTCACTTATGAAGCCCGAAAATGTGCACATGAATACAACATACACAGTGATCGGAATCAGGCGCGCATCAAGTCAATTCTTTCGTGCAAACCCGATAGGTCGCACAGCTTTATAGGTAGATAGTTTTGAGGGCTTGCCCAACTTTCATGGGGATCTTTAGCAAAAATCATGTGTAAGCCCGGAGTTTCTTTTAATGGTAGCTGCGCCCCTAGAAATATCCTCATCGCCAAGTTGTGGACATAAAGTGGTCTATTGACTTCGAAATAGCTAGATATTTCTCATGTTGGTATATTTGCTCAGGTGTAAAGACCATGCCATGTGGAACCATGTAGATGTATGACATTGATTCATGTAGTCAATGAGCCTTTATTCATAACTGGGTATATATGTATCTATTTAGTTACCGTTTCAGTTCTTTTCAATGGCCATATTTAGTTCCGCTGTTACATACACCTGTATCAATCTGGATTGTCAATCTTTCGATATAGCACTTTGTTATTAGAGCCACGTTTCTCATTCTGAATATAATACATGCAACTCTTGCTAAACGTATTTCCACACTTCATGAAATGGAAAACTATGTACTTCAATCTAGGACACATATTATGTCTTACCGCCGGAACTTGCTCTCGCAGTCCGTATCTTCTTGGTACGTCATGTGTGGTATTCTGAAATGGAAACCGTTTTCGTGCAAGCATGTGTAAATAAATACCTGTTCTATCAGAACGTGTATCTATCTATCTATGTTCTATCAACGTCACAATCTTACTGAATACCCAAATAGACGTACCTTCGGTTGCATATCCTTCCCTGCATTCAAAATTTCTTCAGCAATGAAAGAACGGCAACTGCTCGGGTCAACCTGCAAAAATGTCATGATTGCTTTTTTTAGACATACATATATATCATGCTGTCTGTCCGTCAAAAGTAAAATACGCCGTATATTGAACAGAAACAGATAATTGAACTACGGAAATGGGCAATACAAAGTAGTTGATATGGGCGAATACCATAATGGTCACGTCTACACCTGACGCATCCACCAATTTTTACTGCGGTACTCTTTTATGAACACGTGACCCTGTTCGCGTGCGTGGCTGTTCACGGTTGAAGCCACCAATTCCAATATCACAATGTAACACTACACAGAGCTGTTTTGACACGAAATGTCCTGCAAAATGCATCGACACCAGCTGACCTTAGTCCCATCAGCTCTTGAAAGAAATCTTCGTGCCTTGAGAAGTCAACCCCAGAATGTTCAGCAGCTGGGTGCCATGTTGGTACAGCAATTGCGCAGGTTGCTTAAAGCTAGGTTCATGTGTGTTAGGCAGTCGATGACACAACGTTGCCTTCCTGTTGTACCCCAGGCGCACCTTAATGCCTAATCCTGTTTAAGTGTACGCTCATTACGTCCGTAAAATAGCCACATGTGAAGTTTGTGCTTTTTGTTCAGAACATTAGAGACAGAACACAAACGTCAAAAAGGGCATACCTTTTTGTCCTTCCTGCATTCGTTCCAAGCATACTGAAATAGGTAAACGATGCTCAGTGTGACCCTTACATTAGTAAGTATACTTTCATTTATGTACAAAATTAAATATTTTCTGAATAGGTGTTGAATAAGTAAAAGTGAAATATGCAGCCATTAATTCAGTAAAACGCTTACAAAACCCTTTTCAACACATCACTGTACTCACTATGCACACGTAAACCCCACAGCTGGTAGTGTCCTTCTGTGTTGTGTACCCATGACCGACTTCTACGTTGAAGTGTGTTGGGTCAATGGCATCATCCGGTACATTCTGAAGTCTGTATCCCATGTACTCCCTTCATAGAAACATACCAAAGCAATGAGAGTAGAACCCGACAGATAACTCAACAATGAATAGACATAGACTAGGAGGCGTGAAGGTAGTTACCCTCTGTATGTGTGCGTGCGTGCAAGTTTAATGTCCTCGTAGGTGTCAGAACAGGGCATGTACTAAGTCAACAATCATACCTTGTGAGGTTGACCACCTCTTCATCAAATGTCCGGTTCATGGGGTCATAGAAACGCATTTGTTTGGTTTGTACATCCAAAACATGAGTGAGAAGAATAAGTGTTATACTATTATATGTCAATACACCTGGCGTTCCCCTTTCCCACTGAATAATACATTTGCTCCAAAAATACAATATAAGGCTGCTGAAACGCCAAAAACACATCACTATTGGCGATAACCACAGATTACGACAAGTTACATTTAGTCATGACATCTGGATCAGACTCGGTGACAGGAAATCACAAAAGTTTAAACACTGCTCAAAATTCAACACGCGTCCCAGACACATATAGCTTATAAGTCACCACTCTTACTGTCTTAGGGGCGGTGGGGTAGTCTAGTGGTTAAAGCGTTGGCTCGTCACGCCGAAGACCCGGGTTCGAATCCCCACATGGGTACAATGAGTGAAGCCCATTTCTGGTGTCCCCCGCCGTGATATTGCTGGAATATTGCTAAAAGCGGCGTAAAACCCAAACTCAGTCAGTCAGTCTTACTGTCTTAAATACCCAGGAAATACCAATTACCAACAATGTCCAATGGCTGCCCTGTCTATGAATCGGTATAAACACTTTTCTGCGTCTGAGAGTTTTTCCTGAATATAACGAATATTGTCTGTTACATTTGGAACAATATTCGTTCTGAGGTGCCATCTTCATAATGCAGTAGTATTGTGCAACATAGCAGTTACATAGTGAACGAATCGTCATATTGTGGCATTACACAACAAACAAACAAACAAATTATAATGCGATCAACAATGAATTTGTTATATTCGTAGGAAATAATTCAATTCCATAATTAGTCATTGCCGACGTTTATCAACTGTTGCAGTGTTTATTATCTCACAGGTATGTACTGTACTCAATATCAATTCATCACCTTTTGTAGAAGTGCCACTCTGTGACTCCTTCCCGACTTGAAATTTCGCCATCCCTCAATAACCTGAGTTGATAAAACTACATTATTTTCCTTACACTGAAGCAAATAACACGAAAAAAAAGAACATGTTATGTATTCAAGGACGAATATTGTTTACCGTATGTCATTGTATACATAAACACAACATTCAGTCATATTGTATATTCTTTGAACAAACGAGTCGACATCTTGTATTGTTGTTATTTCTAAATTGCCTTGTAGGTTAAAAATCCTTCCACCCACCTCTCGTCCTTGACACAGCACATACAGGAAGGCATTTATTATCTGCAAAAGAAACGTATTTACTATTATTGTTACTTGGGGTTTTTTCTTTTATCAGCGTGTAATAAACTGCTTACACTGTCTTTTACACATACCTGATCATTGACCCAGCCAACCATCCATCTCATCTCTTTCTCTATTTTGTCTCTCATTTGGTCTTCGGTTTCTTTCGGAAGCCTTGGTGCTATCGTCAGGATATCCAGTTTTGAAACTCTATAGGGACCTATGGACACGACTATGTCGTCCAGTAGACTGTTATCATTGCAGATATCTTGAAACTGAAAATAATTACATCAAAGCTATTATGAAAATAACGGTATAGCTGCATCAGGCAAGGTTAGGTCCCCAATATATTCTGTACTTCACATTATGTACTTTTAAGTCACAAGTGTACCGCACTGTAACCATTAAATCATTACATCATCTCTACGATGCGATACATTGAATCACCCTCACCACATCAAGTTTAGTTGATGTTGAATCTGCTGAATTTGCTTGTTCTTGGATACACTCCAGTTGCCCTAAAATGACAATATGACGAATTGTTAGAGTACTTGCTTGCTAAAATGAGATATACGTCAAACGTTTGTATATTTTTACACAGGTATATCCATTCCGTGGTATGCAATTGGTGCACCACGCCCTTTTGTATGAAACATGAACCGAACACTATTCAGGACACTAACGGACAATTGTATGAGTTCTGGGTAATGCTCCGCGACCTGCATTATTGCTGAAAACGATGTTACTTATTTCAAACTGCTGAGTACCACTGTATGAGTTAGTGAGCAATCTGTACTTTGCAATATCTCTTTAAGAGTAATCAGCGTATTTCACCGCAATTCCTGCATAACCGGACAACAACTGACCACGGCTATCCGAGAAAACAGTACCATTAGGTGTTAAAGACGAACAAGTGGTGCTGGTTCAAGAAAATATTTCACATTGTATGAACAGTATTATCGCAGTTTGCCGTACGACACGAATGCAATGCCCCGCTCCCAAATGTGCCGTCCATATTTCAAGCTATTACTATAGTGACGCTTTGCATAGAGACCCCCCATGATGTAGGGTACCTATGTAGCCTTGAAGAGGGGTTAGGGAGTGACTTGTATTACTTTATTAGATGGCCAAATGGTTGAGGAAGACAATAATGTTATTTCCAACCCGTATTTTCAAGTATTTCCATACAAAAAATGCCCCGCTCCCAAATGTGCCGTCCATATTTCAAGCTTTTTCTATAGTGACGTTTTGCATAGAGACCCCCCTTGATGTAGGGTACCTATGTACCCTTGAAGAGTGGGTAGCCAGTGACTTGTATTACTTGATTAGATGGCCAAATGGTTGAGGAAGACAATAATGTTATTTCCAACCCGTATTTTCAAGTATTTCCATACAAAAAATACCCCGCTCCCAAATGTGCCGTCCATATTTCAAGCTATTTCTATAGTGACGCTTTGCATAGAGACCCCCCTTGATGTAGGGTACCTATGTAGCCTTGAAGAGGGGTTAGGGAGTGACTTGTATTACTTGATTAGATCTGTAAATTAGAAGAACAAGGGTGATCAAGAAGGTTTGGGGAAGTATATTTGAACTGAGAACTACTGCCAGTACCAGCTCCACTTACTCGCGAACACACACATGTACACACATGGTGTATTATTGTACTAATTTGTTCTTTCAGCAATCATTAGTTAAGTATGTATTTGTTACCTTTCTAAACTGCTTCGCTAACATGTTTATAGCTCGCCTAATTTCTGTCTGTCACACTGAATATATTGCCGTCCATATTTCAAGCAATTTCTATAGTGACGCTTTGCATAGAGACCCCCCTTGATGTAAGGTACATATGTACCCTTGAAGAGTGGGTAGGGAGTGACTTGTATTACTTGATTAGATGGCCAAATGGTTGAGGAAGACAATAATGTTATTTCCAACCCGTATTTTCAAGTATTTCCATCCCAAAAATGCCCCGCTCCCAAATGTGCCGTCCATATTTCAAGCTATTTCTATAGTGAAGCTTTGCATAGAGACCCCCCATGATGTAGGGTACCTATGTAGCCTTGAAGAGGGGGTAGCCAGTGACTTGTATTACTTGATTAGATGGCCAAATGGTTGAGGAAGACAATAATGTTATTTCCAACCTGTATTTTCAAGTATTTCCATACAAAAAATGCCCCGCTCCCAAATGTGCCGTCCATATTTCAAGCTATTTCTTTCGTTACGCTTTGCATAGAGACCCCCCTTGATGTAGGGTACCTATGTAGCCTTGAAGAGGGGTTAGGGAGTGACTTGTATTACTTGATTAGATCTGTAAATTAGAAGAACAAGGGTGATCAAGAAGGTTTGGGGAAGTATATTTGAACTGAGAACTACTGCCAGTACCAGCTCCACTTACTCGCGAACACACATATGTACACAGAAGCACTGCGCACATAGGCGTCGCGGTAAGGGCTAGCCGGGAAGGGGGAGTTAGGGGGGTGAATGGTTGAATTATTAATCTCATAAAACAATAGTGTTGTGTTGTATCAGTCCAGTATAACTGCCGCTTGTTTTTATATTGTGGAAAACATTGGTCATCCAAACATAATATTTCCACTGTCCTATAGACCACTGATTTTTAACAGAAGAAATTATAACTCACGTGTAAATTGCTTATTGAGAATACATGTATAGTAGAGCAATAAAGTAAATTCAAAAGCAAACACACATATGATACTGACAAACTGTAAAGTGAAGGAATTGTACTTAAATATAATTGGAGAGATGGTATTCTTTACATTAGAACCAAAATATAAGAATAAGCAGGTGAGATGTACCAGGATATAGTGACAAAAAGATGTAACATGAGAACAGATATTTATGAACAAACAAAAAATATGAACAAACAAAAAATAATATAACCTTAGGAATGCTAACAATATTATTCTACCTTCTGCAAGGTTAAGACTTTCATATGATTCCTTTTTTCCATCAACTGTAAGAATGTGGAATAATATTTCTGATACCGAAAGAAATCGACCTTCATTACAAAGTTTCAAGTCGTACTTAAAGTGCGAGCAACCTGTAGCTCCATCATATTACTCGTTTGGAATTAGAAACTTAAATATTATACACACAAAGTTGAGATATATGACTAGTCAGCTAAATTATGATCTGTATCGTTTCAACATGAAAGATTCTGCTTCTTGTTACTGTGGCAATACTTGTGAAAATGTACATCACTTCCTATTAGAATGTAGACTGTACAACATTCAAAGGGAAATATTAATGTTAAATTTAAAAAGTATTGTAAATCGAGACTCTCCAATCACATTGTCATTGATGTTATTTGGAAGTCCTGATATGACCATTCAACAGAATGAATACGTTTTAAAGGTGTGCAAACTTTTATTCATCAATCAAAACGTTTTGTGTGATCACATGAGTTGTATCCCTTCCTCTACTTAACTTTCCTATCTCTTCTCTCTATTCTTTCCTAATATGTATATAATTGAAAATGTATGTATGTAAATATTAGGAGCGGGTATTTTAAGTTGGATTACTTGTCCCCAATCCCCTTCACATTTGTGAATAAAATATGTTTAAATCAAATCAACAGATATAATATATGTGAATAAGCATAATAATAAGATTAACATGGAGTTCTATACTTTGGGAAGAACCTGTGCAAGTCCAGGTCTCTCGACCCCAGTCTATATAAGATAACGGACAGTCTCGCCGCAACACAACTGTTTCTGAATGGGGGTCTAAACAATAACACTGCGATGTGTGTCAGGTCATTGACTCTTCTGAGTGGCACATGTGCCGTTCATTGCATGAGCCTTCCCTATATGGGTTATCTGAGAGGGTGTATAATAGCGACGACCGAGAGAGAGACCGTTAGGGATATTGAGGGAATGGCTGAGCGCGGATAGGAACGGATTTTTTCACGGGCGCATTTTCTGGCAATTTCTTCATATTTAAGGTAATGTTTTCATGTCATATTTAACACATGACTTTATTGGATGCCTCTGTTGTATAAAAAAGATATTATATTATGCATTATTTCACTGTGAGATGCTACATGTACATAACTAGGCATAGGTGCAAAGTACACAGAGATAGCTAATAATAACAGCTTTGACTACATCTGATAGCCATAGGGACTAAGTTAGTATTACATTATCCATTATTTCTTTGTAGATGCTACATATACATAAGTAGGCATAAGGACATAGATAATAATAACAGCTTTGACTACATCTGGTAGGCATAGGGCCTAAGTTAGTATTACATTATCCATTATTTCTTTGTAGATGCTACATATACATAAGTAGGCATAAGGACATAGATAATAATAACAGCTTTGACTACATCTGGTAGGCATAGGGCCTAAGTTAGTATTACAGTATCCATTATTTCTCTGTAAATGCTACATATACATAAGTAGACATAGGTATATTAAAACGCGAGTTTTGGGGAATCAGCTCGCTTGGCAAGACGTCTGCCCATACCAACCCACACACAACACAATACCTGAGTAAATAAACAAGGAGTTTATTACACAGCAGTCACTGAACGATTTTACATAATCAGTCAATAATAGCATAGTTTACAATTAATTATTAGAACATGTTCACAATACAATCAGATATCAAAGTACATAAACACCACATGTAGATTCGTTATACACGACACATACTACATTAATCGCGATACATATTCCAATGTACACAACAATAGTTCAGTACACTACACATCACCCCAGTGGGGGTTCATACAATCGACATTCTGTAACGGTCCCAAACAGCATAGTGTTCACAACGTATAACAACAGTTAAAATATCCGACACACTCTATACATTCTATAATAGTGTAGTGTCAATCAGTATTAAATAAACAATCCTAAACTGTAATACCGAAGATATGAGACACACACTAAGGGATGCCTCGTTCCACATAAACCTGAAGGTACTGCCAGGGTTGTAACTTATAGTTAAGGTATTTACAATAGATTAAAGTTAACCTAGAATAACAATGGTATATATGTCAAAGTAGAAGAAAGTAAAGTTTCTTACCTGAGTAAATAAACAAGGAGTTTATTACACAGCAGTCACTGAACGATTTGTGACTGTGTGTTGTCCCTGTTTTATACCTATTCCAGTTATCATAGATAATCTCATTTACTGATACACTGACGATAAAGTTGTTGTTGTGAACTTCAGTTGCTATATCTAAATCCTATTGCCTAACTCGACTGACGATACGGTGCCAACTGCGCACTTAAGCTACTCTATCTTGTCCGGATTATATGATAATTTTCATAAACGTATTGAAGACATTGGTGTTGATGGGTGAAGTTCACAGTGAATTTGATTAGTTTATTGCTATCAGCAGACCCGGACCAGATACTGGTTTCGGATGTCCGTTATCAATGTGACCCTTGGCAGCTTGAAGATTGTGAACCGTGGTCAGTTAATCTGTACATGTCCAGTTTTCAATAATATA